ATCGTCCTATTGACTCAAATGGGACTACCCATGTGAATATTGCTCAGTGTGCGCAGTCTGGCCCTTAATTCTCAAAGTTGAACAAGATATTTTCAAACACACTTACTGTGACAGGAAACAAGCTATTTACTATCTCTTTATAGCGCTAGCTAACAATTGAGAAGTTGTTTAAAGTCTCCTAACAAATTTAATACAATTGTAATGATTACTATTAAAAGATCTTGAAAAGAAAAGGATCCAAGAAATGTCTCTCAGAAGCAAACAATTGATACTGTACATGGTGACCTATATAGGATTATTTAACTTTACTAATTCCTCAATTTATTGAAATAGTGGATTTACTTTGAAAGTGCTTAAAAATGGATTTGAGGTTTATAAGGCAAGTCATTTCTGAGCTACTACACAACTAAAAAATTGTGCAGACTCCCTCCACCCCCCAAGTTTCTATAATGCCTTATGCAGTGTTGTAACCATGTTGGTCCCAAGCTATTAGAGAGACAAGGTGGGCGAGGTAATATCTTTTAGTGGACCAATTTCTGTTTGTAAAAGAGGCAAGCTTTTAAGCTTAGACACAGCTGTTCTACAGTCTGGCAACACAAATACATTTCTCAGATCTACAGAAGAGCTCCGTGTAAGCTTGAGTCTCTCATCAACAGAAGTTGGTTAAATAAAAGATATTATCTCACCCACCTTGTCCCATAATACCTTGTCAGATTAGGCTCAAACTTTTCACGAAGTATTTTCACCTCACCAGAGTGAAGCTTCAGGCCCCATGATATAAGTCACAATTTTAATATTTTCTGGAAACTATTTTGTGCCATCACACAAAAAAAAAATCAACTCTTAAGGAGCCAATTCTGACTGAAGCTATTCTGGGAGATTTTTTTCTACATGACGTAATGTCATTAATTGTACTGTATCTATTAAAATCTCCCGGATTGCTTTCAATAGTCACCGGGAGATCGATGCCGATTTCAGACGACTCCCGGCCAATCCAGGAGGGTTGGCAACCCTGCTCTTGAGTGACTATGTTTTCAATTACATATCACTAAAGCACCTTCTTGCTGAACACACATCTTCAATAATGCACTTTGCACCTGTAATCATGGCATTATAGAAAGGTATTCTATATTGTAATCTTAAAAAATCTTCCCGGTCCCAGAAAGACAGGACAGATTTTAACTTCTTAAAAGAAATCACAGTGCTATCAGTTGCATTTATGTACTCTGGGCTTCTGCTTACTGCATTAGTTATATAGGTCTACTCCACAAAATCAAGTTGATGGAAATTTGTATGTTAATACTGACCAACTCCTGCAGCTAGAAGTAAAAAAATGTATAAAGGACATTCAAGCTATTTATTTTAAAAGGGCACTGTCTGTTCAAATACAGCCCTAAATTTAGGTTGTGCAAAAACTTGTTTTTACAAAATGTAAAATGATCATGAAATTTAAAGAAACAGAATGGAAACCCCATGTTCTTTTAAAAAAAAAAAAATCTCCCTTATGCTTCACTGCTCAAACAGTTCAGACTCCTGGTAGTACATGAGTACCTAACAGGGTTTTTTTTAGTAACTGACTAATCAAAAGTGAAAGATGAATCATCATCCAAGCTGAGGAATGCAAAAAGTGAACAACAAAAGTAGTTTTATTTTAACATTCTTTCAGTTCTTTCAGCTTTAATAATCCAACATATTATTTGTAACATAGGTAAGATTATTTGATTTTTACCCTGATTTTATCCAATTGGAAGTTTTGTATGATAGCTGCAAGAGTCATCCTGGTGACAAAAGTTGACAGTGTCTCCACGTGCACATACAAATATGATACTGTGATTGCATGTTTAGTGGAAAAATGTGGATGCTTACATAAGGAAACCAGATATCTTAATTAACCTCTTCAGTCCTGGTTCCCACAGCAGCAACTCTATGGCAGGAAAAAAAACAGTAGCATTCTTTGAAGTGTCATGGGCAGCACTGGAGATGTTCCTTGCCCCACATAATCAGATACAACTGAGAGAAGTGAAGTGGTGAAGACTGATACTCCTGACACATCATTGCAACAAAAGAGGGAGACAAATATGCATACACTGTGGCCCAAATCCACCCTTTGGAAGTGCTATGGAGGGGAGAATACAGGGGAGCACTCACTGACATAGATTCTAGGGCTGGAAGGGACCTCGAGAGGTCATTGAGTCCAGTCCCCTGTCCTCATGGCAGGACCAAATACTGTCTAGACCATCCCAGATAGACATTTATCTAACCTACTTTTAAATATCTCCAGAGATGGAAATTCCACAACCTCCCTAGGCAGTTTATTCCAGTGTTTAACCACCCTGACAGTTAGGAACTTTTTCCTAATGTCCAACCTAAACCTCCCTTGCTGCAGTTTAAGCCCATTGCTTCTTGTTCTATCCTTAGAGGCTAAGATGAACAAGTTTTCTCCCTCCTCCTTATGACACCCTTTTAGATACCTGAAAACTGCTATCATGTCCCCTCTCAGTCTTCTCTTTTCCAAACTAAACAAACCCAGTTCTTTCAGCCTTCCTTCATAGGTCATGTTCTCTAGACCTTTAATCATTCTTGTTGCTCTTCTCTGTATCCTCTCCAATTTCTCCACATCTTTCTTGAAATGCGGTGCCCAGAACTGGACACGATATTCCAGTTGAGGCCTAACCAGCGCAAAGTAGAGCAGAAGAATGACTTCTCGTGTCTTGCTCACAACACACCTGTTAATGCATCCCAGAATCACGTTTGCTTTTTTTGCAACAGCATCACACTATTGATTCATATTTAGCTTGTGGTCCACTATAACCCCTAGATCCCTTTCTGCCATATTCCTTCCTAGACAGTCTCTTCCCATTCTGTATGTGTGAAACTGATTGTTCCTTCCTAAGTGGAGCACTTTGCATTTGTCTTTATTAAACTTCATCCTGTTTACCTCAGACCATTTCTCCCATTTGTCCAGATCATTTTTAATTATGACCCTATCCTCCAAAGCAGTTGCAATCCCTCCCAGTTTGGTATCATCTGCAAACTTAATAAGCGTACTTTCTATCCCAATATCTAAGTCATTGATGAAGATATTGAACAGAGCCGGTCCCAAAACAGGCCCCTGCGGAACCCCACTTGTTATTCCTTTCCAGCAGGATTGGGAACCATTAATAACTACTCTCTGAGTACGGTTATCCAGCAAGTTATGCACTCACCTTATAGTAGCCCCATCTAAGTTGTATTTGCCTAGTTTATTGATAAGAATATCATGCGAGACCGTATCAAATGCCTTACTAAAGTCTAGGTATACCACATCCACTGCTTCTCCTTTATCCACAAGACTCGTTATCCTATCAAAGAAAGCAATCAGATTAGTTTGACATGATTTGTTCTTTACAAATCCATGCTGGCTATTCCCTGTCACCTTACCACCTTCCAAGTGTTTGCATATGATTTCCTTAATTACTTGCTCCATTATCTTCCCTGGCACAGAAGTTAAACTAACAGGTCTGTAGTTTCCAGTGTTGTTTTTATTTCCCTTTTTATAGATGGGCACTATATTTGCCCTTTTCCAGTCTTCTGGAATCTCTCCTGTATCCCATGATTTTCCAAAGATAATAGCTAGAGGCTCAGATACCTCCTCTATTAGCTCCTTGACATGACTATTAACTCCCAAAGAAGGTACTACTGGTTAGGCTGGGGGCAGCTGTCTCCAACACCGCCACAAAAAACCCCACCTAGTGTCAGAGGGGCAACAATGGGAGGAGCTCACTCTCCCTGGTATTTTTGGAGCACTCTCCCCTCTTGAACCTGTGCCAATAATGTAGTCCCAGGTAAAGAGTTTACCCACTTCTCATTTGGGGATTATGAAGTTTAGTATAGGAGCTTCCCATTTCTTTTTTTTTTTTAACCAATATACCACAGTGTACCACTGCAGCCCCTATTCCTCACACTGATGTCTCTCCCCTCCACAACTTTTGGGTACTAGAAGTGCTCTCCATCTCTCCCAAGCACTCAGAACCATACATTTGGCATATTTTGTACAGTATTTATCAGATACACTAGAAAGGATCCATTTGTTGATTAAATTCATATTTTAAAATTCTCCATTTCTGTCCAATAAACTCAGACCTAAGGAACCATTGAAGGCTAAAGGATAAACAGAAAAATCATGTACATTAGGCAGCAATGAAGGGTTAAAAGCCAATAGTTTCTCCTTAGACTAATATTCACTTAGACATATTGCATTCTTATCTTCCATCTCAGCTGGCACTCTACTACCATGATGTTGGGCACAGTAACAAAAGCTAAAGAATTGTATAAGACGTTCCAAGATGGTCTTATAACAGAATATAGTGTATGTATTCAGCAAGACTCTCAGTGACTATGTTTGCTGTTGGTAAAAACGCTCCATTTCTGTCATAAGCCAAAAAATACTGGTGGTTTTAGTCCACAATTAAAGGTGCAGCATTAAAATTTTTTTTAGGGTGACCAGACGTCCTGATATTTACTTGTTTGTCCCGCGTCCTGACCAAGTTCGGTTGGGACATGAATTGTCCCGATATTTTGCCCCCCGGCGCACAGGCGGAGGGTGCTCATGCCCCCCCGCCCCAACTCCGCCCCCTTCCTCCTCCATTGGATCCCTCCCCCCATTCCCGCCCTTGCCCCGCCCCCAGCCCCGCCCCCTCACTGCTCCATTGGATCCCTCCCCAAATCCCCGCCCTGGCACCGCCTCTTCCCCAAGCACACCACATTCCTCCTCCTCACCCCTCCCTCCCAGGCTTGCGCTAATCAGCTGTATGGTGGCGCAAGTGCTGGAGGGAGGGGGGAGAAGCAGGACGCAGCACCCAGCTCAGGGGAGGTGGAGGCGGGGCGTGGAGCTGCCGGTGGGTGCTCAGACCCCACCAATTTTTCCTATGCTCCGGCGGCTCTTGTTTTTTTTTTTTTTTTTGCTTTTTGCTTTTGTTTTTTCCTCCGCCACCGGCTCTTGGGGGGTTTTTTTGCTCCGCCGGTACCCCCCCTCTCCCAGCATCCCAATATTTCACATCTCTCATCTGGTCACCCTAATTTGTTTTAACTGAATGTGTACTTTTTAACAAAGGAAACTTTCAAAAGTGCTTCTCCCTTATCTTTTCTGGCTACGAGGTTATCCAGTGAACTCTTGCAGCTGTTCTAGAGCCATGTGCACATAAGCCCTATGTAGGAGGCGTGGGTACAGGAGCTGCTCTCCCTTGTGTGCTCTTTCATTTGGCAGAGCTATTCTTTAAGCTACAACTATAAAATGAATACAGAATTGAGAAGGCATGTTTTACTTCTCCCTGCCCTCCTTTATAGGGTGGGTAATGCCGTAATTGCTGCAAGAACAGATCTGCCGCTGTGATCAGTGTTAAAACAGAAAGTAGCTACATCTATGTAGATTAGACTAAAAGAGACCAATCCTTCAGTCCTTATTTAAGAACTCCCTCTGAAATCAAAGGGAGATTTGACCCAAGTAAAGCAAGTAGAACTGGGCCCCAGCATGAGCAACTTTAGGATTTTCCTCTAATGCTTTAATATACCTGAAACTTTATATTATATTGGTATGACAGAAATGAAATACAACCTTTTTCTTCCTCCCATTGTAGAGGCTCAGACTCTCAAACTAAGCATATAAATAAAATCCTTCAGTTACATACCCTGTTCCTGAAATGTTATAAAAACACCAATGCAGCATAAAGCAGTATTACAAAATAATAGCTGTATAGAAAGTTATTTTAGAGATATATGTTGAGGTAAATTATAATAAAAAGCCCAACTGAGAGGGCATTACCAGTGTTATGGAGAAGTTTGGGTAGAGTTTAGCCAAAGGCCTGTTTTACAAAACCTAATTTTTACCTACCAGTTGGTAAGGCTCTTATTGCTATCATACTTCAAAATAAGAATTCTTCAACTTACAAATTGAAAAAAAATATATGAAGTTAGATTTGTATGAATGTTATGTATTCTGTCATAAATTTTAAAAAAGTAATTGTATCAAGTTTTCTTGATTGTTTAGTAAACAATTTGTTTGTAGCATGTATATAAACTACACTATATATTTTACCTGACACCATGCATGAAAATCAGCATAAAAAACTAAGTTTATCAAAGTTTAACTCCACGAGAACACGAAAAAAGTGCAAATTATGTACCCAACATTTCTGTCACAGCTGATTTTTCTTAATATGGCCTGGAAAAAAGTTTACAGCATATATTAAGAGAATTCTTACAAGAACATATATTCACCTCAATGTTTATATACAATATTTTGCTCAAAGTGCTCACTGTATATGAAAAAATTGACTGGATAAAAATGTTTAAACGGTGCCTTTTTGAGGGGTTGGGAGGAAAATCCATGTAATATATCAGTCCCATTTCTCTTCCCCTTCAGTCAGTGCAACAAGAGCCTTGCTGTCAACAATGCCATTAGAACTTCAGCTACAGTGGTGCTCTAGGTGTGCCATTAGGGGTGGCTCTTTTATTTTTTTGCATCTGGCTCTGATGTTTTCTAGATCTCACTACTTTCATTCTCACTTCAAATACTTCATGTATGGCCTTGCGAAAACAATGGAAGTTGTAGTCTATTAGTCCTAGAAAAAGAGAGAGACAAAAAGGAAAAAAGAATTTTAAATTCTAAAAACTTTATACAATATTAAAATACAGTATCAAATTAACTTATTTTCCATATTTTATTTACTAATGACTCACTTAACTGGGTCAATCTTATGGACAATGATTTTTCATTTACTGCAAAAGCACATTTAATATTAAAACTGAATTATTTACAGTGTATTATCTCATGATTCTGTCCTAGATTTCCATGTTATTTAATATATTTATTAATGATCTGAAAAGCAGAAGCGGTGGAGACAGAAGAAGGTAGCAAAATTTGCACATGACAGAGTTATTTAACTTGGCCCTGGTCTACACCTAAAAATTAGATCTACCTAGCCACATCACTCAGGGCTGGAAAATGTTTTGTGCCATGTGCAATGTACTTAAGTTGATCTAACCCCCCACCGTAAATGCAGCTAGGTCAATGGAAGAATTCTTCCATCGACTTAGCTATCACCTCTCAGAGAGTGAATCAACTACACTGATGGAAAAACCCCTTCCATCAGTATAGGAAGCTTGTACACTGCATGACTATAGCTACAGTCCCATAGTTGTGCCAATGTAGCCTGGACATAGTCCTACCTGGTCTTGACTAAAGGTAAGAGGAACTTCAGGGAGACCTAAACAAGGTAGGTGAACAGGCAACACGATGGCAAATGGAATTCAATGTCTATAAATATCAAGTAATGCATATTGGAAGGAAAAAATGTAAAACTACTCATACACTGAACAGGGTTCTAAATTAACTGTATCAGCTCACAGGTGGGCCCTGGGCATCACTGCAGACAGCTTAGTGAAGACTTCTGATCAGTGTACAAATATGTTAAAAAAAAGTGAACAAGACATTAGGTTGCATAAAGAATGGGATGGTTAATCTTATAATGCTTTTTATATTAATCAATGTTGCAGTATCATCTGGAATACTGTGTGCAGTATTGGTCATCCAATCTCAAAAAGGGTATTGCTGAACTAGAGGGAGGTTCAGAGAAGAGTGGGAAAAAAAAGATAAAGAGCCTGGAAAGACTCTTATGAAGAGAGATTGAAAATAACGGGGTTGTTAGAAAGGAGATGAATAAGAGGTGACATGATAAAAGTATATAAAATAATGAATGATCTAGCACCAAGGCCGTTAAGCATTGTTTGTTCAGTACATGCTTTGTTTTCTAAAGTGTAGTCTTTTCAATAAGTACCCCAAAATTACACTCCTTGCACACTATAATGCAGCATAGTTACAGAAAAATTCACTATAATAAAAGGATATAATGGAGAAGGTCTTAACACAGTAGTACTAGCACAGCAAAATTTGGGTTAAGCCTGTCAGACTTGCTTTGGAGTTCTTTACAATTTCATGACTATTAGTGTTAGCACAACTTATAATATTAAAAATATAAGAGCTAATTCCAGCTTCAGTGCTAAGGAAATATCCCAGTTTGACAACACCAAATATACTACAGCTATATATTCACACCAACACCAGTCAATCATTCTATATTGATAAGATACCCACTATGACTGGAATTCCATAAAATGAGACAAACAAGTCCTCTAATCAATTCACTGAACAGGGATAGCACCAGTATTGCTGACCTGCTTACGTACATTCATCTTGAGAGGGAGGAGGTGCATTCTAGGGCTAAGACAATAGTTCATTCTCCACAGCTCAGTCTCTGAGACTGTCAAGTATGGTTATTAGAACCAACAATACTGGTGGGTTGGGAGACACACAGACACCTCTCCATTAGGAATCTGACCAAGACCAACAGCTCAATGCACACTGGCCAATGAACAGCTGGACAGTGAACTACAGTTGTTAATACTCACCTTGGCAAGAGTCAGAGTGGTTACTCACAAGCTTCGTACCTGATATACAAAACCTGAAAACTGCCTGGTTTCCAAACATGCAGTTTAAAAAAAAAATCTCAAAGAGGCAAAAACAAAACAAATCTTTTCTTATTGAAAAGTAAGGACTCAAACGATTTTCTCTTGGGTTCTGTGGATAGGATATTACAATTACATATTCTTATATCAATAAGTGCAATGCAAAGTTAGCGAAGATGTGCTGAAACATTATTTTTGTATTAGTATAAATGGAAGTCTTATTGCTTTTGACATTTAATTGTATGGCTTTCTTTCATACAGGAAAGTTGTTAATATATTTATCATTTCATCTTATATGAGTGGCAACACAAACACCTCATAATTTTAAGCACAATGATATGAAAGCCATATCAAAATATGCTTTTATTTTATATTTGTGATACCACTAGAAGTCATAACATCATCTAGGGACAACCCCACAGTTACTCATTAGCTTGTGAATATGAAGTAAAAAAATCGATTACTACAAAAAAATTAAAAATACCTTTTCTCTCAAAGCTTTCTTCTCTTACAAAACAAACAAGAGCAAGGAATTTTGTCACCTCCTTTAGATAAAGGACAGTTGTATTGTTCAGTTTTATGATTGCTGTTGATTCTTTGTCATAAGGTGTTCCCGCGCCATCTTCTTTGAGCCTAAGTGGCAAAAATAAAAAAAAACATGTAGTAAGTCACTGGACAAATTTGAATTATCTGTCTATATAGAACCTTCCATCTAAATATTTCAAAATGTGCTTATGAAAAATTCAGCTTCATAGCTTCTCTCTGTGAGATAGGTATTATCCTTATTTTACACAATATGAAAATTGAGACAGAGAGGGAGATTAAAGGATTTGTTTAAAGTCACATAGGAAGTCTGTGAGAGCTGGGAACAGAACCCAGATATCCTGACTGTCACATACCTGAAGTAAACCACACTTTCCTGTCTGTTATAGACCAATCTACCACAAACTTGTTTGCATTTTTATTAATATACAACACTCTGACCTTAGTTCAAATAAAGACTGTGAAACAATTACTCTGTTCTGGCCTGACAATTCTGAGTATAGAAACTTGATTTGGGTAGTGTCAGCTGACTGATAGTTCAGGTCAATGCATTAAATTCCCCCCAACGCTCCCACTTATGCAACAGTATACCAAGAGGAGAGACTTCTTCCTGACTCAAGCTGATAATCAGCAAATACCTGTGATAAACCTTGTAATTTGATCCCAGTAGTGTAAATGCACATAGCAATTTTATTACTCTAAATGGGTAATGCGCCCCAGTTTCATGAACTATTTGCATCAATATCTTGGGGCAGCAAGTTCAAGATTCCACATTCTGTGGATATGCATTTCCTTTGATTCCTTTTACATTTGTCTTCAATTTATTATATGTCATCTTGGTCTTGTATTTGGGGAAAGGTCAAATGTGCATCAGAGCAGCTTCTCTGCAGTTTAATGTCTCGATCATTTACTCTTCTCTCTCTCTGCAAGCTAAAATAATCCTAATCAATTTAAAAAAATCTGTATACTCAAGTCTTACCTTATGTCTCTAAACTACACTATATCTCAATAAAATGACAAATAGAGATTTTTAACTGGTCACAAATGCTAAACAGTTATTTAAAGAGCACATGGGACAGTCACAGTTTTTGCACACGCATATAAGGTGCCATGTCCACTAATGGTGCACAACAAGTAATAAATTAGATCTGTTTATTTTTGATGTACACAGCAGTAGCTTTTTCCTTAAAATATAATGTCACAGAAACTGATCCTTAATTATTATATGTATCTGCAAGGCACAAGCTTTTGGAAGATTAGTGAAGCATCTGAATTCATGCAATCTGTAATAAAATATAAACTTTAAGAACATTCTACATTTTTTCTCCCTTTTTAAAAATCTAATGTGTACTTTACCTCAGCCAAAACTATGCTTTGTACATTTAACAGAGCTGTAAAACTTTGAGAGCCAGGCAAATGATTCAAATGCTACCTGTAAGATAGGGCCTTTTTTAGAAAGAGCTTTGCCCACTTGTTATCGTTAAAGACCCTATTGTAGTGTTTGCAGGTACCAAAGACCACCACACAGTCTCTATTCAGTATTTTATGGATTAACCTTTAGAGGGCTGTGTTCCAGGATGCACTATTTCTACCTCACTATGATCCTGACTTCAGTGGGAACACTGGATGTTCCACACATCTCAGGATCAAGCTGTAACAGGTACCTTAGAAGATTCAGAGTTACAGCAGTGAAGTGTATGATTGCTAATGAAAGGAGATGGGGAAATGAAAGTCAAGATAGCTAGGAACAAAAGTATGGGAAGGAAGGAGGCAAGGAGTAGCATATGCTCAAGTACCATTTGGTGGCAAACTAAACAAAAATAGTAATGGGAGCTGCACTTTACAACAAAATGGCAAACATTTGTGTGTGAAATTCAACACAGAGATTCACAAAAGAATGTCATTTTAAAAGGATGGTCCCCTCCCCATTTCTATTTGAATGGCTATTATTAGGGCCCTATCAAATTCATGGCTGTGAAAAACACATCACAGACCATGAAATCTTGTCTCCCCTGTGAAATCTGCCAGGGAAGGGCAGAGGTGGGGGCGCCCCAGCCAGGGCTCCTACCATGTGCCAGGCTCCAGCTGCTAGTCCTGGCGGGGCTGGGGAGGGACAGGACTTCCTTTTCTCCTGCAGAGGCCACTCCCGGGGCCGGTCAGATGCACCGCTGGGAACCTTCCCTGGCTGCAGGAAGCTCTGTGCCCCCACCCCGTTTCCTGCCCCCATTGCTCCCCAACCGCAGAGGGAGGGGTCACTGTACAGGGAGCAGGAGCAGAGCTTCTTGCAGCCAGGCAGCTTCTTGGAAGAGGAGCAGCACCAGGAGCGGCCCCTGCAAGAGAAGAGGAAGACCTGTCCCTTCCCAGCCCAGCCGGGACTAGCAGCTGGAGCCTGGCGCATGGTAGGAGCTCCCGGCTGGGATGCCCCCAGCCAACTGCGCTAGAACCAAGGGAGCCAGGGGGCCATGCCCCCCCCCACTTTAACCTGGGTATAGTTGGGGGGGCAGGGGTGGCATTGCCCCCCCAAATTGCAAGCCACGGGCAGGCCTGGAGTGACGCCAGCAGGGGCTGCGCTTCACAGTGGGGCAGTTGCCAGCGCCGATCTGTGTCTGCCGATCCGTGTCTGCCCTAGGCTTGCAGTTTAGGGGGGCAACACTACCCCCACCCCCAAACTACGCCCATGTTAAAAATGGGGGGCATGGCCCCCAGCCTTCCTGGTACTGGTGGTCACCCACTTCTACAAAGGTTCCGGAACCTTGTCCCCAGCACTGCCCCTCCCCAGCACTCGACGGTTAAAGGGCCCTTGGGTTGGTGGGGGGCGGGGGGGAAAGACCCACAGCACCCTCTGACTATGGGGCCAAAGGCGGTCACCGACCCGTAAGGCCAGCCCTTTCTCCTCCCCAAAAAGTGATGACCCCACACACACCAACCAACTCTCATGTCTGTGCTGCCCGCTGCTCTCCAGCTGCCCAGATCTGAAGGCAGCACCTCCGTCAGCAGCAGCGGAAAAGTAAGGGTGGCAACACCACAACCTCCCTACAATAGCCTTGAGACCTCCCCCAACCCTTTTTTGGGTCAGGACTCCATGGTTATAACACCATGACATTTAAGATGTAAATATCTGTAACCATGAAATTGATGATTTTTAAAATCCTATGACCATGAAAACCCTATGACCATTGATCAAAATGGACCATGAATTAGTTAAGGCCATAGCTATTATCATAGCATATTTAAAGTCTCCATGGGATTACATGTATTTGGGATACTTTAGGTGATTTCCCATTCACTTCGACATACAGTACTGTGTTACCTGTAAATTTGCAATGTTTCAAAGTCATTCCAATCTGTAGGACATTCAGTTTTTAGTCACCGTATAATATATTCTAGCCTAATAAGGTGGCTAAAGAAGATTAACAAGCATGATTAACAACAATCTACTTACCCATAGATACAAGAAATATCGATAACAACATCTATCATATCACAGCAGAGCTCATAAGTTTGCATATCCACTGGAGTACTGTCCGTTGCAATATAAATTTTACTGACTACATCAAACAGAAATGCTTTCTCAATCCCAGAATTCTATAAACAAAGAAAAATATTCTTTAATATTTAATATTCTTTAATATTTAAAATATTCTTTAAAGGTATATGTATAAGTCCATTTATGCTGCCTAATATGGGTCTGAACTGGTGCTACAGCAATTCCATAATTCCAGAAGCCTTGAAAACCTCTGATGAACAGTTTTTGTAGTTGAGACAAACTCAGTTAAATTTCACTCAGTACTGTTTTCTTTCAAAAGAACTATTTAACAAATATTTATAGATTAAAGTGACCTTCCTGCCACCTTTCTCCTATTTCCAGGAATTAAGGGATTTCAGCCCAGGGTATGGTTCAGCACAACAGCCCATAACATTTTGGGCAGCTTAATTTTAAAGGACCTCTAATTCATCCATCAACACAAAGGGAACTAATCCTGGGAACGCCCATCAGTAATAATAGGTGTCATGGGCTTGAATTTCTTTTATTTCAATGGGAAAATATAGACCATAGATTGTTCTTAATAACACTTTCTAGTAATCAATTATTGAAATTTACAAACTATACACTCTGGATATCTTAGAATTCCTCAAAACCCAAGAACAAAAATATAATATAACATTTGATTGTCATATCTGACCAAAATGGCATCTGCACGATTTAAAAAGAAAAAAAAAATTCATTTTGACACAAAAATTCCTCATGTACTTCAGCAGATGGCAAAATTCATTTAAAAATTCAGGTTTTACAAAAACACAAGATTTTAATTTCAATGAAAATTACTATCTAATTCCCCTATTATTTTAGTCTCCTGCAGTGTTTGAAACTTAAATGTATAGTTTCATACATGAGTTGAATATGAAACTGAATAGGAAAGTTCTATAAACAAGAACGAAAATGACTAATCTAGTTTGTATTTCCAAGTGTGAGAAATACAGAATAAAGAAAAATCATATAGATAAATGTAAAATAGATATTTAAAATCTTCAGAGTTTTATAATCTAAGAGGTCATAATCAACATAGTTAAGAAAATCTGACTTTTAGAAAAATGCTTTTTCATATTTCAGTATACCTATAGTGGAGAAAGGAGAGGGTGGATGAGAGAATTCAGAAGGGAAGAAGAAATTGCTCAGATAAAATTAGTGACAGTAAAAAAAAAAGGGTACACATACACAGAGAAAGAAGTCTGAAAATATGAAAAGAGAAGGATCAATATCATTATATATTGTTACTTAGGTAAGGTATAGAAACAAGTCAATACCCTAAAATATTCCAGTAATAATAATAGGAAGTGCATAGAATATCAGCGTTATGTTACTTTTTAGGAAAGTGTGGGAAGAATGATTGAAATATCAGTCTTGCCCTTGTTGAAAACACTGCCAATACTCTAACAGACTTCGATGGGATTGTGCCTAATGTACTGTTTTGCTTTTAAGAAAGTGAATCAAGTTTGTTTTACCTCAAAAAAAATCAGGACTGAAGTTTCAGGGACATGCACCTGTGATTCTAGTTTGGGCCTGCTTCTAAATAAGGTTTCTTTTATTGTTTTCAGAGTACCCCACAACACTTCACAGACAAGAAAGGTGCTGTACAACATAGTTTCTAAATATATCCAAAAATGTAAACACACCTTAAAAGAAAACATATTAAACAAATATGAGAGAGTGATAATACATAAGTAGGAAAAAGAAATGGAAGGAAGAGGTAATATCCAATACTAAGATAAAACAAGTTCCAAGAGCTGGAAGTTGAAGCTACACAAATTCAGATGAGACATAAGACACAAATTTAACAGCGAGGGAAACTAACTGTTGGAACAACTTACCAGAGACCGTGGTGGATTCACCATCACTGGCAATTTTTAAATCAAGACTGGATGTTTTTCTAAAAAATATACACTGGTTCTAACAGGAATTAATCCAGGGAAGACCTCTGTCCTGTGTTATGCAGCAGGTGAGACTAGATGATCACAATGATCCCTTCTGGCCTTATAATTTATGAAAATGTCAAGTGCTATTTAAAAACAAACAAACATAAGCCATACCACACAGACCTAGGTCACATTCAAACCAATGTCTAAACAGATGAGGGATGACTGGGCCCAAATCCTGCATGAGCTAGACACCCTAAATTCCTGCTGACTTCACTTGAAACTCAGTGTGCACAGCATCTCTCAAAAAGGCACTTAACAGATTTTAGGATTCAATTGTTACAGAATAAATCACAAGTTTTCTTGTATTCAATCAGTTCTATGCAAAAATCTAGAAAGTACACAAAAGTACTTACTGAGATAAAGATGTTAAGGAGGTTTTCCAGTGTTGGGAGCTGTGGAATCAGTTTCTGTACCACTTTGCTAAAGGCTTCAAATATAGAATGATCATATATGCTTGTCAGATAAAAGCTGGAAAAAATGTCACCATATTTTCCTTTTAGCCATATAAAAGGAACATTCTGAATCTGTCATAATGAGCATGTAAAATATTTTGAAACACAAAGTACTTGAAGTTATGCATTTTCCCCTTGTGATCAGAAGTTGCATAATGTTTCTAAAACACAGTTCTTCAACAAACTGAAGTCAATAATTAAAACAATTACATATATTTTCAGGGCTATATTTAACATGATAGTACACAATATGAATACATGAAACCATAGATACTGCAAAGCTGTTCTATATATGGAATTTAATGATCTAGTTCCCACTTCAATATCCTCTGGAAAGCATTTTCTGTATACCAGGAGAGCAATACTACATAGCTTTTATGTATTGCTTTACATCTTGAAAATAGTAGGGATGAAATTAACAATGAAAAGGTGCCACCAAAGTGATTAGCTACTCTATGAATTAGCATGTTTGTGAAGCACTATATCATTATGATGGCATTTTTTATTTCACAACAAGTCCCAAGAACGGCATTAAAGTTTCTATTGTCCTGTAGCTCCCAGTTTGTTGAAGTGCATTATTTCCAATTTTCTAAAATAATCTGCTCTTTCTACAGACTGAATAATTTAGTCAAAGGCATTATGTTTTCCCTTAATAGTCATATCTAATAAATTCTTGTTGCCTGCTACTTCAGTAGATTAGAAAGTGATAAACTGTCTATCAGATAGGCTGCTCTGGTTTCTGGCTTTAGCATTAAACATGGCTTTTATTCTTTTCCAGCAGACTCTGTGCACAGTTGCTTCTCTCACCTGAGGTGAATTTTCTCCAATCCAGCATCTGCAAGGTCATCATTTGCCCTCTGGTGAATGTCTCTTTGGGTTTCAATCTTATGATCATCAGACAAACCATCCACTTTATGAATAAAGATTTCAAAGTTGATGTCTGGATTCACTTTATAAGCTCTGGTCACGGTGAGATGCAACCTAGCCAAGGCCTCCATATAATCATCCTAATAATGGAAAAATAAAACCCACAACCTTATGACAAACAGTTATGAGACAAAAGCGAAGTTTTATAAGATACTTGCAGACACTTCTACAGTTCAAAATTCCTTTGTTTTAAACTTCTGTGATCATAAAGGCCTATACCTGCACAAAAGCCCAATTGCCATCACTAGCAAGTCCATGCAAGGAACCAGAGACTTTAAAGCAGACTAGTTATTTCTGCATTTAAAATAAAAACTAAAACTAGGTTTTGAAACTTTATTTGCAAAAAAGAGGTTAAAAAATAACCAACTCTGTCAACTTAATTGTAATTGGTGGTTATCATCTTCAAAAGCACTTAAGTCCCATTAAAAGTCAATAGGACTTAGACTCTAAGTGCCTTACGTGCTTTGGAAAATTTGACTGTCTCTGTGTTTGCATTCCATTTGCCTATAGCTGGAGGAGAAAAATGACTAAGACAAACAGGTGGCCTGAATACCACCCTTATAATAGTCTCTTTACCTGAGAATCTATGACAAATATCAGTGCTCCAGTGCCTCTGAAAATCATCTCATAGTCAAACGTAGGGTCAAAGAAGTCAATTTGCCCAGGAAAGTCCCATATCTGAAAGTTAACAAAGGAGCTGTTGGAAACATCTTCTCTGCAGATCTTGTTAGTGCTCTCCAAGAAAAGGGTTTCATTTGGAGACATTTTGTGAAAGACAACTTTCTGAATGGAAGACTTCCCACTTCTTCTCAGTCCCATAAGTAGGATTCTTGGCTTAACTTCAGTACTGAAGGGGTCACTGAAATCCAGAACTGAATAAACCACACAATAAGAAGAATGATACACTCCAGCAGGGATAAATTACAACAGTTGTATTTATATTAAATACTATATTATATGCACTTTACATTTACTTACATTTTGCAGTGTTAATTACACTACTTTATTTTATGTGCATTTACATCTGCATCTAGACTACAACTGCCAAATCTCAGAAACTGGAAAGAAAGATATTTAAAATAAAATTTCTTCCCTCTCCTAAACTACTGTTTGAGAACCTACTACTTCTCATCTGAAAAAAAGAGGAAGAGTGCTCAGGGCAAGATACCTGGGTATAGAGCTATTAGGTGGCATCAAACACACATGTTCACCCAAAAAACAAACTCTTCATGCCTCCCACAACCTAAAAACATCTAGTCTAATCTCCATTATAATCAGATATATATTTTTTCAGCTGTGTTTTTGTGGAGTAATAGGAATAACCAGCATCCAGTTAGGGAATGTACACTCTTTAAGGACCATCACTCCTTGCTGTCACTTCACTATTTATCTTACTGCTCACTGATGCCCGCCATGTAGCCAGGATGCTCAGCAGCCCTAGAATGAGAATTTGGTATGTTACTATTGTACTACACTGTAATTGGCATCAGAACAGAGTTAATAGACCAGACCTATCAGTGCTGACAATTTTGGACCTCATATTGCAAATCATCATGTGCAGAACTCCCACTGAAGAAATCACAGTTCTGTGTGCTGTGCATTTGCAGGACCGAAGCTTCAATGAACATTTTAAAATGATGTACAGTAAGGCATGAGGGGGAATCAGATATGTGTTGCAAGTCCCCAGCAGGGACTTATTTTTCCACGGTGTAAATTGATAACATGCTTGCAGTGACTGGGATGACAAAAAGAGGGTTTTAAAATGAACCCCTTAATTGATATAATGGTAGAAGCATAATCGCTTTTCATTTCTCCCCAGCTTGAAGCCTTACAGCCATAGCAAGATCACCCTTTTTATACAGTAAGTCTGCAACCCAGCAACCTTTCAGACTCTCACTCTACCTGCATCAGCTGCTTTGGAGTGCAGGACCTTAAGAATAGATACTCCTTTTGGCCTTGACGCTGCAACCCCGCAATTCCGTTCAAATTACTTTTGCTAAGATACTCTACCTGGCTCGTCACTCTAACTACGTTACTCCCCTCTTTGAGTCCCTCCATTGGCTCTCCCTCCTCCACTGCTACAAATACTGTACAAACTTTTCCTTGATTTTTTTTATGGCCTTTCTTAATTTAGATCTACCTAATTAACTGTTCTATTATGAGGTAAACCCCTGCCTTTGCTCTGCCAAGGATGCCAGTCTTCATCACCTGCTTATCTGTTCCTTCACACTTTCTCTTATGCTTACCTATACACAAGGGAAAGATTCCTTTTCAAAATCCACATGGCTACCCCCTTATTCTCCTTCAGATCTTTCCTAAAAAGGCACCTCTACGGCAATGCCTACAAGTCACTGCTGACTGAAAATGGTTTAGTAGGTAGCAGGTTGCTATTACTGCTGATTAGCTGTGTGAACAGTTCATAGGTGTAATAAGCCAATACATGATGAAACATGCTTCTGTTATTGTTATCTCATCCACCCACCTTGATTGCTTATTTTACACACCTGTTATACCATGTCTTTAGATAATAAACTCTTTTGGGGCACGTGCCTCTTTTCGCTCAGACTTAATACACACTATGATCTATCACCTCAGGTATATGTGCATGAGGTGGAGATCAGAGAGCCTCTCACAAACTGTAAAAGAATCAGAGATAATAAAATTATCAGGTAGTTTTTGGTGTGGAGGAGTTATTGTCCATAGCTCTAGCCTAAAAGTCTTCATTCTTATAACACCGGCCACTGCAGCTCAAACTAAAAAAACAAACGAAGATAGTTTTCTATTGCACTCTCATTTTATGACTCAGTCCTTCCATCCCAATTGTGATGCTCAGTAACTATCAAAGAAATGTTAGAAGCATCTTTCTTTTTGGACTAATGCTTTGTTTTAAACAATTCGCTTCTTTCTTATTTGGTTTTATTTAAAAAAAAAAAAAACTGACAGTATTCTCTCACATGCAACCCAGCTTTGAAAACTTGCATATGATGTATGTATCTGTGCATATGTGCCGGCATGTTATCTGTTAATAGCCATAGCATTCAAAAACAACACCAGAGACAGATTGTCACAGTATTGATGTAGGTAGAAAAAAGATGATCCCATTAATAATGCAAAGAGAAAGGGATTACCAGGCTGCAGTTTAGCCTCCATTTATGTCATTTAGATTCAAGAGGGATCATTTTGTGGATCTTGACACAGACTCAGAAAGCACTTGCCTAGTGATCTTCCTTGTATTTCTATGCAAAAGATAAGAATTATAGGGTTACCATAATCCAGCAAGCAAAAAAGAGGACGGGAGGAGCCCCGCCCCTGTCCTGCCCTAGCCCCGCCCCATCCTGCCCTAGCCCCGCCCCTGCCCCTCCCACTTCCCCCCCTCAGAACCCCCAACCCTCCCCCCGCTCCTTGTCCCCTGACTGCCCCCTCCTGGGACCCCTGCCCCTAACTGCCCCCCAGGACTCCACCCCCTACCTAAGCCTCCCTGCCTCTTGTCCCCTGACTGCCCCCTCCTGAGACCCTCCCCCCATCCTAACTGGCCCCCTAGGACTCTACCCCCACCTGTACCCTGACTGCCCCAACCCTTATCCACACCCCCACCCCCAG